TTGGTACAGATTCTCCTTTTCTACAGTAAATCAATTCTCATTTTCAACCACACATTCTTCAATAAAATAATATTTTCCATCACATCAATACTTTTTTCTTCTTTTTCAACCACACATTTCCCATCAAATCACTATTCAAAAATCAATTCTTCCCCCAAAAATCCCTACCAAACACACTCTAAACTTAAACTTGACTCTAAACTTCAAAATTAGTATCATACAACATTTAATATCAATCATGTTACTTGTACATTATTTATATACACTTTGAATGACGTTTGAATGTGTGACAAAATCGAGATCATTAATTGTGTAAATGTTGGAGAAATCAATAGTAAAATTGTGTGTCATATAATACAATGTAAAAAAGAAGTGTGACAAGAAATATCATGACTTCATGATATTTCTTGCTAGGTAAGCTTACAAAATTTGATCGAACTAAAAGTATAAAATAAGGGACCCAACAAAATAAATTCCAATGACCCACTTGAAAGAGAAAAGAGATCTCTAGCTGATTAAGTTCGATCTTTGGGAGGGCCAGGCCAGGAGGCCATTGCTATACTTATTCTTTCTGCTTTTTCTTATTCTTTCTCTTTTCATCTTTATTATTTTCATTAAAATTGTCTTTATACCATTTTAAACTTCAATAAGTCAATTATGTGAATGTTATCAAAATTCTATAAAATTGAAATTTAAAGAAAAAAAAAATAAGGGATTATAAACTAACTTGCTATATCACGCAAGGATTGGGGTCTTAAACTGCAATTTGTCAATTTAAAGTGAAGACACGAGTTTTGCCATAACCAAAATTCTACTTTATAGATAGGGATGGCAAGGGGCGGGATTGGGTTCGGGGTTTGGTTGCCCTCCTCATCTTCTATCCGTCGAGGATTTTAAAGAGATGGGTTGAGATAAGGTGTGGATTAGAATTTAAATATTCTCATTTTTCGTCCGATGTTCACTTATTTATTTAAATTGAAAAACAATATATATAATAACATCAAATAATATAGTTGGACATTCGAGATGAAAATCATGTTCCCTTTAATCGTCCCCATTTTGTAGGCAGGAAAGGGAAATACCCCTTTCATTCATGACCGTACCGGACATTTTACCATATTATAGAAACAACAAATTGTAGAAATTAGAATTGACTCGATGTCCAATATTGTCATAAAACATGGGCAAAACGACTGGAGGACGGCTAGCATGTTACAATATTTGAGGTGGCCGTGTCAAGACGGACGGGCCAGCCAGACCCGTGAAAATCGGCCCGGATCGGCCCTAGACCGCGGGTCGACCCGTGATCAGAACGGGCGGTTCACGGGTCAAGGAAGTGTGACCCCGGGTTTCACAGGTTGCATCTCCACGGGCTGCGGCTAACCCGCTGGCCCGTAAAAAAAAATTAAAAAATTTTGAAAAAAAATAGGTGTCAATCTAGTTGAGATGTACTTATACTATAAATATGAAAAAATTCTATAACTATGAAAAATTCTATATTTTTAGGATTTTATTTATACAATCATACGCGCAAAACAGGAACAAACCGCGACCCGTGACCCACATGGGATCACCCGATGGGTCAGCGGGTGGGTTTGAATCGTAGTCCAAAATTTGTGGGTCAACCCAAAACCGGCCCGGAACCCGAGTGGGTGGGCTTTTTTCATAAGGGTCGTTATCGAGCTCATATGTTGGTAGGCCAACCCGGCCCGGAACCCGAGTGGGTAGGCTTTTTTCATACGGGTCGTTATCGAGCTCATATGTTGGTAGGCCGACCCGGCCCAGACCGTCCGGATTGACACCACTAGAGGCGGGCATCAAGGCTATCTGTTTGTTGTTGCATGTCTCTTGTCTAGGCCATACGAATATTAGTACACTATATTTAAGTTCCTTTAATTAATATAATATTTGATATATATTGTCAATTTCCTCTTATTTAATTATTGTATTTATCTAATGCATTGTTACTTGAATAATACTATTTGTACATAACCATTTACATATTGGTGAGGTGACAAAAACAAAGTTGAGTTTTATTTTTTTAATTGGTTGGTGAAATTTTGTCTCAATCATATCTTATCGCATTATTTCTTGATGAAAAATTTGTAATTTATTATGTACATATAACACAATCGTAACTACTTATAAACAACGACAGAGGTATATGGGGGACACAGGCCGTCCCACAACTGATATACAAAATTAAGGGCAAAATGTAATTTCTTGGTCCAAAAATGTGTTTGCCTATCTCTTGCCCATCAAAATAAATAACTTGTTCTAAATTTTATTTTGTTAATAAAAAAATTTATTTATAAATTAATTTGATTATAAGAATATTCTTAAGGATAAGCCAAACATGGACGTGTATTAAATCCAATTTCTTTGGACTCTCAAAATTCGAAGTTGATTTTTTTTTTCTTTTTTTCACTTCGAATGTGATTCCTCACTCACTATGGAATTGTATTTTTAAGATCAATAACATACAGTCATGTAATGTTGATTTCGTGTTTTGGCCAAATCTTTCAGTTATTTGAAAAGACTGGTTGTCATAGTTCTTTAGATCAATATTCAATAGGTAATTTCTTAATTTTTCATTGGTGGATATACATTATTTGCTTATTTCGATCATGATTCTATTCTTAAAGTAAGCATCGATTTTCTATTTAATAAGGAAGATACGAAGATCGAGTGAGACATCTAAGAATATGATATCTAAATTTCTTCTATTTCATTGAATATCACACATTTTTATCATGAATATCAAGAGTTTAACCTCCTAAATTTGATATTTTGTGGCTTGACAATTTCAACTCATCATAACATTACTTCCTGGCTCCACCAATGTTTACACATATAATTTATTACATATATTTTTAAAGAAACATCACTTGTTTAACTTTTCAACCAAATTAAATGACATTACTAATTGTGAGAATATTAAATTTGTACAATATATAAGATTAGATATAAATAATTTGTATTGGTAAAGTATTTTTATTTTTTTTCCAAATCGTACCCTTTTTTTAAGTAACAATTTTCTAAGATTCAGACTTATGCTCTCTCACTAGTGTATTTTAGTAATGTATTTTTGCAAATCTTTGCATCCCACAATTTTGACAAATAAAAAATTAATAGAAAAATGCATAGGTAATTTATATTACGAGGGAATCTTTATACTCTTAGGTTGTGTTTGATAGCAAATATTTTCCATGAAAAATGGAAATTTTCCATTTTCATCCATCAAGGATAATGTTAGAGGTACATAAACATCTACACAAGGGTGTCCATAATGCTGATGTGGCAATCATCCAGTCATTGATGTGAAAGCGTCAGATATGAATTAAAGATTTTGATCAATGTCATTTGTAATTATGTAGACAATTATG